GAGACAAAAGTTGAACTTTTTGGAAGGTGTGTGTCCCGTTACATCTGGCGTAAAACCAACACAGCATTTCATAAAAAGAACATCATACCAACAGTCAAACATGGTGGTGGTAGTGTGATGGTCTGGGGCTGCTTTGCAGCTTCAGGACCTGGACGATTTGCCATAATTGATGGAACCATGAATTCTGCACTCCTTCAGAAAATCCTGAAGGAGAATGTCCGGACGTCAGTTTGTGATCTCAAGCTCAAGCGCACTTGGGTTATGCAGCAGGACAATGATCCCAAACACACCAACAAGTCCACCTCTGAATGGCTCAAGAAAAACAAAGTTAAGGTTTTGGAGTGGCCAAGTCAAAGTCCAGACTTAAATCCGATTGAGATGCTGTGGCATGACCTTAAACAGTCCATTCATGCTCAAAAACCCTCCAGTGTGGCTGAATTAAAACAATTCTGCAAAGAAGAGTGGGCCAAAATTCCTGTGAAAGACTCATTGCCATTTATCGCAAACGCTTGATTGCAGTTGTTGCTGCAAAGGGTGGCACAACCAGTTATTAGATTTTGGGGGCAATTACTTTTTCACGTAGTGCCAGGCAGGTTTGGACAGGTTTTTTCCCTTAATAAATGAAATCATAATTTCAAAACTGCAGTTTGTATTTACTCAGGTTATCTTTGTGTAATATTAAAATTTGTTTGATGATCTGAATCTTTTAAGTGTGACAAATATGCAAACAATTAAAAAAACAGGAAGGGGGCAAAAACTTTTTCACACCACTGTATATATCAAAATAAAACGCTTACTAAAAAACAATGCACAACTCCACAACTTGGCCTGAAAATTATATGGTGATAATTTTGGCTTATATTGCTATTTGAAGTGCAATATTAGATTTAATTGTATATGAAAATCTGTCATTGCTACTGCTGAGACATGCACACGCAGAAATGATGCATTGTTCTTAGTATGTCTTCAGTAGCACTTCTACGGCATACACAGAAATCCTGTGAGCGGTTGATGTAGTCGGTTAAGCGGCAGACTGCAGGGAACGCGACACACTCATTCACAGCCTCTCTGCCAGTCCTCCTTTTGTCCCCTCATGTAGGCGACTTTGACGTCTGCAATATTCACCCGTGCCTGAAAGCAGGCCTGCCTTAACAAACATGTCCGGTCACATTATCCAGTGTGTGCTCAGGTACGCTGGGCTGCAGTGATAGCGGGAGGAAGCGAAGGGAAGGTTATTTGTGTGGATCTGTGTGACTTTGTGTTGAGGGTTTCCTCTGAGCACATCTATCACTGTTGTTTTGATGTCCTTAAGGAAGTGGGCGCTGTTCATGCCGACACGCTCCCATATTTCCCCCTCGTGCTCTGCATCTTTGTGGGTTCGTCGCAGTTTGTCTCATGCATTAGAATTGATGTTCAACACAATTGCTCATGTTATAATGTGGCATGAACCTGCTCCTGTCATTCACAGATGTGTGGAAGCCCATTTTCGCAGCATGATGAACAAATTAATGCTTTGGTAAATCATAATTATGACATAAGTCATTATGAGATAAAAAGTCAAGATTATGAGGTACTAAGTCATAAATATGAGAAAAAGTCACAGTTATGACAAAAATATATAATTATGTCTTAGTATCTAATAATTTAGACTTTTTATTTTATAATCACAACTTAACATCTCATAACTTGTCTTTTAATCTCATAATTATGGCTTAGTATCTCAATTTTAAATTTGTATCTCATAATCATGGCTTATCTCAAATTTGAATGTTTATCTCATAATGACTTAAGATCTCATAATTTCTCTTTTGATCTCATGATTATGACAGTATCATCATTTCGACTTTATCTCATAATCATGGCTTAGTATCTCATTTGAATTTTTATCTCATAATCATGGCTTATCTCAAATGTATTTTTTTATATCTCATAATGACTTGACATCTCATAATTTATCTTTTGATCTCATAATTATGACTTAGTATCATCATTTCAACTTCATCTCATAATTTTGGCTTAGTATCTTAATTTAGAATTTTTATCTCATAATCATGGCTTATCTCAAATTTATTTTATCTCATAATGACTTAACATCTCATAATTTGACTTTTGATATCAGTTATGATTTATTATCATAATTTTCAACTTTATCTCATAATTATGCCAATGTGTTCCCATATTTCTCCTCTCATGCTCTGCATCTGTGTGTTTATCACAGTTTGCCAAATGCTGCAGGGATGCATCAGAACTGTTCAACACAATGCGCATGTCATAATGAAGCATGTGAACTGCACTGATTAATGTTACAGTAGCCTTTAGTCGCAATATTAAAGCAATTCTGTCAATATTTCCATAAGCCTGTTTTCATTACTGACCAGTTAAAAAAAAATACAAAAATAACACCATAAACGTATCATAACAGTAATCCATCTCATGCACTGTATTCCTAGTGTTTTGGAGTCACATGAGAGTTTCATGTGAGGAACAGACTGAAATCGACCATATTCACTGAAAAACTTCACTGAACTGAATCAGACTGATACGCTGTATCAGAATTATGTGCTTTATAACGTGTATTTGATTGTTATGATGATGCTGCATTGTGGGATCTGTCCTCACTCCTCATGAGGAGTTTGGAGACGAGCTGTATGTGTGTTTTGGGTCACGCCGTGTCCGCAGTCTCAGCTGCTGGCTCTGCGCAGCGTCGTGTTTGTTTATGCGTGTGTTCTGCTGTGTGTTGGTGGAGGATCAGAGCTTAGAGGGGATGAAAACACCTTGCCTAAGAAAGCAACTCTCGCAGCCATGCGGCCTTCAACGCGCCCCGCTGTGTCCTCACCCCACAGCGCAGGGAAATTCCTGAGAAACTCCCACATGCAGCAGTCCAAAGGACTCTCCGTCACGCTGACAGATCCGCGCTGACATGGGCTCTGGAGGAAAGTGCTCCGGCCGCGAGAGGACGCCGGGGGGGCGGCGTTTGCCCTGAATTAATGATGTTCCTCCTCTGCACACGCTGCAGAGGCACACTGGAGGATAATTAATTTAATTATCATACGGCCAACTGCAGATGACAGCGGGACATTAAAGAGATCTGAAATATTTATTAAAAATGTGCTGTAATCAGATGGTGTGTGTGCCGTCGTCTTCTTGCTCATCATCACAAATGTGAGCCTGGAGCACAAAAGCAGTCTTAAGTCGCTGGGGTATATTTGTAGCAATAGCCAACAATACATTGTATGGGTCAAAATTATACATTTTTCTTTTATGCCAAAAATCATTAGGATATTAAGTAAAGATCATGTTCCATGAAGATATTTTGTAAATGTCCTACTGTAAATATATCAAAACTTAATTTTTGATTAGTAATATGCATTGCTAAGAACTTCATTTGGACAACTTTAAAGATGATTTTCTCAATATTTAGATTTGTTTGCACCCTCAGATTCCAGATTTTCAAATAGTTGTATCTCGGCCAAATATCCTAGTCCTATTCTAGTTATATCCTAACAAACCATACCTCAATGGAAAGCTTATTTATTCAGCTTTCAGATGATGTATAAACCTCAATTTCGAAAAATTGACCCTTATGACTGGTTTTGTGCTCCAGGGTCACAAATGTTACTGTGAGAAAAACAAATAAGAGAGTTAATTCTTGCCAAAACCCCCTGAGCGTGACCCCTGAAAACACATGTACAGTATCAGACTGAACCTGCTCCAGTAATTCACAGACATATAGAAGCCCAGTTTTGAAGCATGATGAAAACAAATATGCTTTGGAAAATCATAATTATGATATAAAAAGTAATTATGGGATAAAAAGTGAAGAAAAAATGTCTTTGTCATCATGTAGTAACTCATACTTTTTACTTTTTGTCTCATAATTATGAAAACCGTGTCATCATTTTGAGAACATGTATCTCGATAATTATCACTTGGTATCTCATAATTTTGACTTTTACGTACTTTTTACCTCATGACTTAGTATCTTATAATTTTGACGCATATTTCAGAATCATCACTTGACATCTCATAATTGTGATGTTTTATTTCATAATTGTCTTAGTATCATTATTTTGACACTCGTTTCATAATTATAACATAGTATCTGGTAATTGCAACTTCTTATCTCATAATTAGGACTTAGCATCATAATTGAGTCTATCTCATAATTTTGATTTAAAAAAAAAAAAAGTTCATGGCTTAGTATCTCATAATCGTGTATGTCATAATTTTGACACTTACAGGTACCTCATAATTTGAAATGACTATTTTTAAACCTCATTAACATTTCATAGTTGAGATAGTGAGTTAATATCTCAAATTGTGACTTAGTATCTCATTATTGTGACTCTGTATCATAATTTAGTATCTTATAATATAGACTTTTCTTCCTGTTGCTAGAATAATTGTTTTGTACACTGTAATGGATAATAAGATACAGGTACAACTTTACAACGATTTCCTCTCCAATCAATGTCCCCATAATTATTTATGCACTGAAAAGTGATAACTATTATCTCATAATTATTACATAGTATCTCATAATTTAGCTTTTTTTAAATCTCAAAATCAACATTTATGTGATAATTATGAATTCATGTTTTTTTTTTTTTTTTGTATGTGGCAGGAATGGGTTTCCATAGTGACATGATCATCATATTCATTTATTTTGTGGAGTATCAGCCTGCAGGTTCACTGATCAAGCGTGTGAGAGTCGGTGTGTTTTCAGGGGTGTTTGTGTGTGATTTATTCTCCTGCAGGGCTCCGGAGGGCGGCCTCTGCCTCTCAGTAGATGTCCTTGCCAGAACGCCATTGACAGCATGACAGAAGAGCTGGAATATGCTGATAAAACTCCAGACGTCCAGGGAGGATGTCCATCAAACGCTGAGCGCAGTTGTCAGTCGGAGCTGGGTGAGATGTGTGTGTGTGTGTGTGTGTGTGTGAGAGTGTGTTCTGGTAGAAAGCACATCATACTGTCTGCTTGCAGCATAACTGTTACTTCATTGATATTCTTTCAGAATTGTATACTCCCAAAAGATAATTTAAAGTCATTGTTGTGTAAAGCATCAAACAGACATTACAAAAAGTAGCTTCAGCAAGAAATATTTTGTTTGATCAAATCTATTACATATGCTCTTCTGGACCATGAGGGTGAGTAAATGATGACAAAATTGTAATTTCTGGGTGGGTGAACCATGAGATGTCCTTGCCAGAACGCCATTGACAGCATGACAGAAGAGCTGGAATATGCTGATAAAACTCCAGACGTCCAGGGAGGATGTCCATCAAACGCTGAGCGCAGTTGTCAGTCGGAGCTGGGTGAGATGTGTGTGTGTGTGTGTGTGTGTGTGAGAGTGTGTTCTGGTAGAAAGCACATCATACTGTCTGCTTGCAGCATAACTGTTACTTCATTGATATTCTTTCAGAATTGTATTGGTTCATCGAACACCAAAACAAAAGAAGCATGGTACTACTATAATTTTGTTGAGGAAAATATCATATTTAAGGCTGGAGACGCTGATCCTCAGACCAGTGAATAGACGCACCATAGAGCTGCAGTGTTTTACCAGTGGTTCATGCACTGACCATATCATTGTGCATCTTTAACAAACTAAAAAGACAGACCAAAAGCACTCACTGATTTCATCACGCTTCCAGTCGGCTCTGTTGGGAACGGCTCTGGGTAATACTGTGTTTTTGTGCATGCACCATGTGTTTTGGATATTGCCATAGTTAATTCCATGGTGTTTATATGTTATATAGTATATTTCTGTATTATTTTAATAATTCCGTACCATGATATAGTCCAGGCCAGTGGTCCTTTTTAAATCCAGGGCCCACACTGTCACAACAGTATTTGAAGGGCCTCTCCCTGTGATCACAATTTACAAAAAATAGCAGTGTCCATAACTAACATTAGCAGTAGATAATTGTTTAATGATGTATTATTATTATTAAATGGTAAAAAAATAAAATAAAACAATTGTCAGGATTCCAAATATTTTAAGAGCTGAATGTTTTTAGGGATCTCACTCTTATTAAGCAGTAAATTTACTTGACTATTCAAGACATTCCTGGTAAAGTTTATTTTATTGAGTATCATTGAGATACTATTATATTTTTATTAATATTTTGAATTAGTTTTTATTTGTATAATCTCTGTTTTTATTGTATTTTTTATTTTAAAGTTGTAGTAATTTTATTGTGTTTTATATATGTGTATAATGAAATTATTTCTTTAATGAAATGATACTCTAAATAATAAACAAAAACTGCCAGTAGGAGGTGGTAAATGTGTTAATGATTAAGTCATCGAGTCATTTATTCATTCATTTGTTTCATTCAAACGGATGCTACTGTGTGTTGCTCGGAGACGAACAGTTCTGCTTTGTCTTTATATTTTCGTTGGAAAAATTGAGCAAAACAGACAACATTGTGTCTAAAATAGCACAATATTAACTTCTTACTTACTGAACTCTTGTATAAGATAGGCTTGCCGAGTGAGGCGAGAGACAGACAAGACGAGTGAGGCGAGGCAGACAAGACGAGTGAGGCGAGACAGACCAGAAGAGTGAGGCGAGACAGACAAGACGATCGCGGATGATTTAGTTTTGAAACGAAATGCAAAAGCGTCTGTTTGGCAATAAACATTTGCTGATTTGCCACATTGGTTGCTGATTTTTACTTTATTTAAACTTTGTGTCATTAATTTATTTTATTTGACATCAAGGTGTATGCCGTGCCTTCAAGAAAAGAGGGAAAATTCAAACGAACTAAAAACGAACAATTGCTTTACTCCGAATTGCCGCTATTTGAAAGTGAAAGTAAAAGTAAAACGCGCGCACAGCTTTTACAAGCTATTTAAAAGCGAAGGAAAGCGAGGAAAAGAAGGAACGCCCCGCGGTGATACCGGTATTACCGGTGTTGTCACACGTCGATTAACCGGTGGGAAAATTTCCTCACCGTCACAACCCTAGTATAAGATCAGTATCACATTTGCACTTAACACGTTAAATGCGTTAATAATTTTTCACCGCAATTAATTAATCGAATTAACGCGTTAAATTACCAGCCCTAATATGTATATGTATATATATATATATATATATATATATATATATACATTTGCATGTCTATATAGTAACTGAAAAAAACTTATATTTTTTTTATGTTATTTCAAGGAACAACATTGTTTTTATGTTTTAGTATAAGAAACTGTCCTGATATACTGGATAAGATTTTTTGTTTTTTTTACTCACAATTTAGACCTGATTATAAATATTTTAGACCTTGAAAGTTTAAATTAAAACTGTATATTTATTATAAAAATGCCAGTGGAGTAATAATATTTTATTAATTTCCATGAATTTTTCCAAGTCTAGAAATCACAGTTTTAAAATTAATCTCCCTGGTATATCAGTTGTTGATAGCGTGAATCAAAATAGCAAATATCTTGATTGTTTTGCATTATTTTAGTGCTTGTTTGTCTTATTTTAATTGATGTTAAGCCACGTTCAGGTTCAAGTGCCTAAGTCACAATGGATGACTAACGAGTCAGTTAAGTGTTTTTAGCAGTGGTGCTGTAATTACTGAGCTGGCATAGACACTTTCACAGTAAAGCTCATTGCACACGGAGTCCGAAATTTTCGCACGTTAAAAATAAATACGACCTCATGTTGTGTCAATCATGTTTACACACTGCCTGCGTTTTAGCAAGCATTCTGATAGGAAAGGATGACGAATACAGAGTCAGTGTGCAAGGATCTTAAAACTCTCTCAGAGGAGTAGCATCATCTCCCATTCAACCCTGAGCCCTTGATTGGTTGATTTTGCAGTTGTAGTTGATATCAGCTCTGTATCGCAGTACTCATTACTTGTTTGTAATGTCAAGCACTAGATGTTGACGTGTGTGTGTTTGTGTGTGTGTGTGTCTGTGTGTGTGTGTGTGTGTGTGTGCGTGTGCATGTGCGTGTGCGTGTGTGTGTGTGTGTCTGTCTGTGTGTGTGTGTGTGTGTGTGTGTGTGTGTGTGTGCGTGTGCATGTGCGTGTGCGTGCGTGTGTGTGCGTGTGCGTGTGTGTGCGTGCGTGTGTGTGTCTGTCTGCGTCTGTGTGTGTGTGTGTGTGTCTGTGATGTGTGTGTGTGTGTGTGTGTGTGTGTGTGTGTGTGTGTTAAAGGTTGTCTGCCGTCACACTCGTCCAGGAGTTCATCAGGTTACCAGTGGATATCCGGTCTAACAGCGCTTCAGTCCGAACACCCAGACATCCAGAGCCAAACCCGGCACGTCTTCACACTCCTGCAAAGTAGGAAAATTGCTCTCTTTTCTCTCTTTCTGTGAGATCACAGCATATACGCGTGCGTTCGGTGTCGTCTCAGATGCATTGTGATGTTTTTACCCTGAGAAGAAATAATGAAGAACGTCGATCGCTGCTTCTAGACGCTCGTGTGCAGTTCAGCCCATCAAACGCTGACGGCAAACAGGCCTTTGTTCCAAACACGCTTTCATTTTCCTTCTTGTTGTGCTGGCAAAACGCACTTTTAAGAGGTACGGCGGGGCTCTTTATTCGGCGACCGCTCTTTTCTTCACACGGCTCGTTTGGAGGGACTCTGTCCGTCATGGCGAGGACAGACACTTCAAATTAAAGCCGGAGAACGAAAGGCTGTTTCTATCGCCCGCAGAACTTTTAAAGAGCGGCCTGTAAGAGCAAAGAGAAAAATCTTAAGCAAGAGCGGCTGGAGATGAAAAGCACATTTAATGTTTTTCATCTTACTTCGCCAAACAGCCTTCACAGCGCTGAGACAATATTAAACAAGTTAATATTTAATGAGTGGCTTTCTTGTGCGCTGAAACGCAAACGCCTGCGAAGGAAAAACAAACTTGACGCCGTGTGAAATTCTAATGGGGTGCAGCGCTGTTGCGGTTCCTCCATTGTGCGTGTTTTTAACAGACTGTGTTCATGTCGTGCGTTTATGCCGGTTTGAGCCTGAGGTGAGAGTGAAGGATCCTTAGAAGTTCAGCCGCAAACTTTTCTAATGAGATATTAGCAGCTCTTTGTTTAATTGACCAGTGTGTGTGTGTGTGTTTGCGTGTATGTGTGTGTTGGCAGGGCAGCTGCAGGAGAACGGTCTGCTGATGAAGCACGTGCTCCTGGTTCATCTCTACGTGAGCGACATGGAGAACTTCAGTCAGATCAACTCTGTCTACTGCACCTACTTCACTCACAATCCTCCAGCCAGGTAAACGACGCCTCGGACTGTCCTTTAAACAGGGAATTCACTAGGGCTGTGTATCACCAGCAGAGTCATGATATGATACGTATCACGATACAGAGGCCACGATACGATACATATGACGATACATAGGCCACGGTACGATACATATCACGATACAGGACTGCACTGAATTTCACCTCAGAAGAGTTTAGTAAAACAGCTGTTTATTAAACACTGCATACTATAGTGCCATTTCTAACTATTGGCAGAGCAGGCAGTTGACCTCTGCATTATGAAGGGCCTCCATAACTGTACCACAGTACAATATAGGTAATGGCATATGTTTCGTATTTACATTGTGCACTCCCCACCAGGTACAATATTCTGATTGTTTGCATCTTGTTTTTAAGCCCATAAATAATAATGTACTCGTTTTAATAAATTTATATTGTAATGTACTCATACTAATATATTTACAAAATCATCTTTACTTTGCTGGTAGGTTATCATTGCACAAATTAACACACTCTCTACGTTAAAAAAAATAAAAATTAGAAGAGTTCTAAACTAATGCGCTGTCTTCACTGTATCTCACGCATGCACAGACATTCAGGAACAAACATTTTAGCGCTGCCCCGCAATTTTATCAACTAAATAGCTTAATTGCTCAAGAGCTACATTATCTTTCTTAACAAGGAGCTGGTAACATACACAGGGTTGCCAGGTTGACAAAGATAAGTAACACATTTAGCAGATATTTCCGTATTGCGCAAGTGGGAAGCTCTGTTTTGGGGTTTACGTCTCTTTATATCAGGCAACCCCGGTTGTGTTCCTCTGCGGCCAGATTAAACCTTGTTATAGCCTATATATTATGCTCTATTCATTATTTTTTTGGAAACCTTGCACTTTTCTACTCCGTTTTAAATATGTATATAACTATATATAAGTGTCATGTTTGTGATTTTTATTCATGTAAGCTATATCTTCTGAACTTTAAATCAAAACATACTCGTGATTTTACGACATCAGTTACTGCTTTATTTAATAAAAAATAGAATCTTAATGTTATTTGTGTATTTTACTTTCATGTTATTGCAAGTAGGCCAACAGCGCCCCCTATGGAATTAAAACTCCTCACCTGACGGGCATTAGGAGCCGGAGCAGTGACTGTTGAATCTATTGCGCACCGGACACGTCATTCGGTTCATGCATTCTCAGCTTAAGTTAAAGTTAAATAACATTTTCCTAATAAAAGGCCTTAAAAAGGCTTAAAATGGTCTTAAATTCAGATTCGATGGGTCTTAAATATTTTTGGTCACTTTACCGATAAAATAGCTTCAGTCTGACGGACCTAATGACCGTTTACAACCATTAAACAGACCGAAGATTTTTTTATTTCTCCCCCCGTGGTAGTTACTGTGTCATCAGACAGAATCGCAGTAATGTTAGCAGAATACAGGTCGGACTAATTTCTTCGTGTATACAATGTTCTCAATAATAATAATAATAATAAATATAGGTCAAGCTACAGCTAGCTGACCACCAGCCTTCTAGCTAGTTTAAAATGTTTTTTTTTTTTTTTTACGTTTTAAACATCCCGATTAAAACTTAAGTGACAAAAAAATAACCAGCGAAGCATCGAAACGAAAGAATGATTCTTCTGATTTTAATAACATTCAACGCAAACAGCGTTAGTGGATAGTGTATTTCTGGTATCAAGATCGCGCTGCCTTCAGAACAAATGAGCATAACAGCACACATAAAGAAACTCTGAAGAAACACACTGAGGTAAAACTTCAAAATGTGTAGTTTATTTATAACATGATATAGTTCAGTAACATACCAAGGGAGCTATTTTGCTGAATATTCTAACGATTGCAAATGTTACATTGATTTTAGTTCAATAAATATAAAATATAATAAACTATTAAAGTTAGTTAGTCAAGTAGTTAAGTTACTTACATTTTAGACACAATATTTACTGTTTTGTTCTGTTTCACCAACGAAAATAGTTCCAAACAAGGATCACAGCAGAAGTACAACAGAATTGAACATTCTCCAAGCAACACTCGGCGGTGTTTTGTTACTTCATGATTCAGCGTTTTGAACAAATCAGTTGAATGAATGACTCAATGACTCACTCATTAAGTGACTTACCGCCACTTACTGGTAGTTTAGTATGTTGAAAAGTATGCATTTCCCCCCCAACATTTTTTATTTGTATATTCATAAATGTGTTTAAAACATTAATCTCATAACATTATTTATAGCAGTTGTAATTTTGCAGGGTAAATTATTTAATCTGACTGCTAACATGATTACAATTTATTGATAAATTTTAATAATTTGACTTGAAAGGTGATGCATACATTTTAAAAGTAAAAAAAAATAGTCCTTTATAAAGGTAAATAAAAATATGCAGGTTTAAGTATGTAAAAGCTGATAGAACACTGATTAACATATTGCTTCAGAATAATTGTTTACACCACCTAAAATCTCGGTAATGTGGTAGTTTTGTGGGGATATTTTGTGTGGAATATTGTCTGCTGATATGAAAAGTTCACTGTATATCATAGTAAAAAAATATCATTTATGACAGCATTTAATTTTTTTTTTCTTTTTACATTAAGCACATTAATGTGACATATATGTATGTAATATAATGTGTATTTCCATTACAGGTTTAGGTCTTAAATTTAATATAAGGTGGTATTAAAAAGGTCTTAAGTCTTAAATTTCACTTGTTCATATCTGTAGAAACCCTGTGTGAGTTATTCCTCTTATCGGGAAAGCATATCGGCATAATTGTACATATCGGACCAATGCCGATGTTTACATTTTAAGCCATTATCGGCCGATTCCGATATCGTTCTGATGATATTGCGCATCCCTATTTATAACAAATTATTCACTGTTACATTTTTAGAAAGTATAAAGCACTAAAAACACAAGCAACCAATTTCAGATGCAACAAGGAATCTTCAAATATTATAATACATTCTAACTTTGGTTACAATTATTTATAAAAATATTTAATGCATCACTGCGTACGTTATGAATACCTTTATAATGCATTATACATAAAGGCTTCAAGTAAAGTTTTATCTTTTTTTTTTACTTTTTACAGTTTATACCTGATAAAATATTTCAGAGTTTGAAATAACTATGCCCATGGAGTTATAACATTGTTTTTATTTTCATGACTTTTCCATGTTAGAAATCTCACTTTTAAAACTCATATATCCAGGTTTTGAGGACCATGTGAATCCTGGTTCTTATATATATATTTATACAACAGTTCTTTCTGGTCCTCGAATCTGATTGGCTGATGCCAACAAATGCACAGAGCAGCGCTGTCATCAGAAACACCTTAACAGATGTAAGGATAGTACGACAAAGATATCGCTTTCCTCAGCGGACATTTAAACTAATGTTTTATTGTGAATATGAGATTGATCTGAAGAATGAATGCTGCATCAGATGCAGGTAATCACGATCGCTCAGTCAATCTCTCTCATAATACTCTACATAATACACTGCTTTTACTACAGTAATACAATAAGCTTTTAACACAGCAACTTGACGTTCCTTCGTTACTAATTCTAAAGTGACGTTTCTGAATTAGTAACGGATCTTGGGCTCAGCTGTTAAACTGTCAACTTTAGATTAGAATCGTTGGTGGAAGGAAGTAGTTCTGCACAAAAGAGGGCTTTTAAAGACTCTCTGTTGTTATTTTTATGTATTCACACACTCATGCTGTCGAACTGTTGTATAGATGCAATATCACACTCGGAGATGGTGAGATATGGCTGTATATCGGCACACTGTGATTACCTATGGTCGAATCACAGCCGTGCCGATATACATATATATAAACCTTGCTATGTGTACTGCATTAGGCTAACTGAGCACTTGCATGACAATTCTCGGTAATTATCAAAATTACCAAAACTTTCAAATAAAAAATAAAACATGTTTTTGCCATTTTTATTAGTTATTTTTCTTGATATATCTATATTTTTATACATTTTTATTTCAGTTTTAATTTGTTATTTTAGTACATCAAGTTTAACTAAATTAAAATAAGTCAAAAATAAAAATTTTTTTTATATTTTATTTTATTTCACTTAACATTTATTTCAAGTAACTTGGTTTTGATTGCTTCTATTGTCATCATTTGTAAGTCGCTTTGGATGAAAGCGTCTGCTAGATGACGAAATGTAAAAACAAATCTGGTTGTGAACCGATCAGCAGCTGTGTTATTGTGTGATGCAGGGTCTGTGCTCAGGTGTGGCTCCCGGTCTCTCAGCAGCTGCGGATGGACGTTCTGCTTCAGGACGGGACGGTGGTCTGCGAGGAGGACGATTTTCCTCAGAGAGACACGCTTCATGTCCAGAGTCTGTCCCACTGGGCCCCGGCCAACATCGGGCCCTACAGTCAAGCCGTGCAGGTACAGTGAGCGCTCCTTCATTTGCAGTGTTGGGGGTAACACTTTACAAGTATTTTTTTTTACTTGTAATGAGACTTTCTTTTAAAGGGGTCATAGGATGCTACATGCACTTTTACAAGTTGTTTGAACTGAAATGTGTGTTGGCAGTGTGTGTACACAACCACCCTATAATGATAAAAATCCA